CTGAGGCTTGGGAAGAGTGACCAGACCATGCAGTTTCTAGTCCCGTTCTGCGGCCCCTAGTCTGGGATTTCTGAATTTTCCCAAACCAGCTCTCCTCTGGGTATGACGTCTTGGAGAGCTACTGACAGTGACTTGCTGTTGTCATTGTGCCAGGACTCTCCGGGGGAGCTGACCATCGGGCATGGGCCCCACCCAGGAGCTGGCCGCCTCTCAGAGAGCCTGCCCGAAGCTGGACCAGACCAGGGGCAATACCCCGGGACGGGTAAGATTAGTTTACCATTCACTATGCTTCTACAGGGGAGGGTAGAAGTTCCCCTAAAAATCATTACAGGTGGAGAATTTGAACAGGTGGGAAAACCCTTACACAGGTTCACCATACATAAAAGCTGCCTGCGTCTCACGCCACAGCACTGTGCCTCTCCGTCCAGGCGACACCCCTCACCCGTTTGTGGCCTGTGCCTTAGAGTACATGAGACACGTGGTGAACACAAGGACTGCCTACCTGTGGAATGTCTTTCTGAAAAGACCAAAAAGACAGATTGCTTACAGTTTTCCATATTTTACTTTATTTTTCTTCTCACATTTCCCCCTTTTCTTCTCCCCTCCCACTCCACCTTCTGTTTACCTTCTTGACACAGGACTGGACGGCTCCCCAGACCTTGTCCCTTCCCCAGGGCAGAAGGGGGCTGCTCACCCGGACCCCAGCAAGACCTCCATGGACGCAGGACATGGGAGGCGGCCTGAGGACCCCAGAGAGCCAGTGCCACCCAGGGCCCCCAAGTCTGAGGACAAACGTCAGGGCAGCCCTGCCCGGGTCCACAGCACCTCCCCAGGGAAGACAGCAGGGTCTCATCCCCTGGACACCGGCGGGCCCGACACCACCAGCAAGGCAGCTGCCCCTGGGGGAGCAGGGCCTGGGGCAGAGGGAGCGGCTGCAGCCAGCACTGTCCTGTCACCAGCCCTCCTCACAGGCCAGGACACACGAGGAGTTGCAGGCGACCACAGCCAAACTCTGGCAGGGACCCTCGTGCCTGCACCCTCCCGGGAGTCTGCTGGGCTTGAGGGAACGGACTCTGAGCCTGGGAGGGCACCGCAAGCCAGCCACTCCTGGACTTCACCCACTGACCGGGCCAGAGGGAGGTGTGGTGGTGCCTCGGAGCACCGCTGCCCTGTGACCAATGTGGACAGATGCCTCGAGGAGCAGGATGCCTCGGAAGGAAGACTTCCGTCTCCGGACAGAGGGCACCGGGCGAGGCCGGAGGGCAGTGCTCAGGGTCAGCCCCCCACAGGAGCTGCAGGAGGAAGCGCCCGCCGAGCTGAGCCAGCCACCGGGAACCAGGCCCCCACCCCCAAGAGGGCCTGGGCAGCGTGCCAACCCCCTCACCCCCCCTGGACCTCCCAGCCTTCTGTTTTGGATTCAGTTAATCCTGACAAACATTTTACTGTGAACAAAAACTTTCTGAGCAACTATTCTAGAAATCTCAGCAGTTTTCACGAGGACAGCGCATCCCTGTCAGGCCCTGCTGACAGCACGGAGCTGTCTCTCTCCTCCATGTACGGGGACGCCGAGGACTCCTCCTCTGACCCCGAGTCGCTCCCTGATGCCCTGCGAGCTTGCACCAGGGACACCCGGTCACCTACTCGTTCTCGTGGGTCTTCTCACAGGGAAGACACTACGGAATCAGAGGAGGAGCAAATTGAAATCTATTCCACAGGTGGTTTCCCCACCCCAACCTCCATGGCGGGGCCCATGCCTGCCCAGGAGGCGCCCTGCCCTGTGCCAGCCGGAGGCCTGCCCCTGCGGCACAGCGCTCTGGGTGAGGCCGTGGGAAGTCCACGCGAGAGAGCCTACTTCATGCCGGGAGCCTCGTGCCCTCCAACCGCAAGCTCTGCCCAGCCGTCTCCCCTCGGGGGCAGAAGTGCTCAGGGGCGTGAACCTCCCATGGACCCACAGATTCCACAGCACCGGGGGGTCCCCAGCACTGGCTCAGCTGTGGAAAACCACCAGGCCTCCGCAGCCGCCAGGAATCTTCACAGCGCTCCGGTCGCCCTCAGCTCTCCCAACATGGTGAACGGTTTGGGACACGACTTGGATGGTGAAACCACAGATGAAAAACAAGAAACAAGTGTGAACGCAACTGAAAGTGCGGGTGCCCCCGAGAACGGGGAATGTGCCCTGGCAAACCTGCACAGCTCCGAAAGCCAAGACCTGGAGGACCCGCTACAGAAACCAAAGCTGGTCTCCAGGAGGCCCATCATGGCCTGGTTTAAAGAGATCAATAAAAGCAACCAAGGTGCTCATTTGCAGAGCAGGACTGACAAGGGGCAACCCGCCATGCCAGCCACCAGTCCTGACTCCAAAAGTCAGGTGCTGAGCACAAGCCACAGAAAGGGGGTTGCTGTGCCGAATAGCCCCCCTCCGCTGAAACTGAATCTTGAAAATAAAGACCCACCTAAAAAAAGCTCCGTGGAGACCCTTGTAAGTAACGGTCAGAAACCCAAGTCCGGTGCTAAGCTGAAGAGGCTGAGCAGCAAGAGCAAAAGCAAAGGCAACGCCGAGGGCCCTGCAGCTAACACGCCTAAGGCTGGAGGGACGGACCCCAGGAGGTCCCTGGTCTCACCCCAGGCCTCCCACAAAATGCTCTCCAAGGTCACGTCACACCGGTCCCACGGAGCCGACCACGAGGAACCCGGCAAAAATGCCACAACCACCGCCAGGTCTCCCCAGTGTGCGCCGGAGAGCAAGCCACCCCCTGCAGCCTCGGGGTCACTGAGGCTGTCAGCCTCTGACACGAGCATCAGACCACTCGTTTCGCCCCTCACCTCTCCCAGGGCTCTTCCTGAGCAAGGTGCGGGCAACAGGTTCCACGCGTCTGTGCACTCCGGACCCGACAGAGGCAGCCCGGCCGCCCCCAGACCTAAGTGTGGACCAGAGAGCAAGGCGGCCTTGGGGACAGGTCCCGCCGCCTCGAAGAGTAGCGCGTCCACAGCAGTGGACCGGCGCGGCCAGCCTAACGTATTCAGGGCCAGCAGCTCGCATATTCGGTACCAGAAGCAGCCCAACCTGGGGTGACTGGTAGTGACAAAGGAAGCAAAACAATTGCTAATGATTCCCCAGAAAGAACCAAAATTTCTTCTGAAAGAATGCCAAAGAATGCATGTGGTGACACGCCAGCCGAAAGGGGCAGACAGGGAGGGTTCGTGACCCCGAGCAACGGTCAGAAGAGTGAACTTAGATTCTGCCACCAGCCAGTGGAATCGTCCCCAAACCATGCACCTGCATTGGCGTCCCACGCCTCCCCGGTGGAGCCGGAAATGCAGCGCTCCTTCAGCGTGGCAAAGCTGGCCGTCTCCTCCCCGGGGAAGTCCAGCCAGGTGCCAGCCTCCCCGGAGATGCCCAAGAACAGCACAGCAGCGGCCCCAGCGCTGGATGAGCATCCCTATTTCACGCCAAGGCCGGCAACCAGGACCTACTCCATGCCAGCCCAGTTCTCGAGCCATTTTGGACGGGAAGGGCCTTCCCTGCACAGCCCAGGGCGCTCCCACCGGGACAGCCAGATCCCTGGGACAAGCGGCCCGGAGGCCAAGGGGTGCAGAGGCGGAGGTCTCGGACTGGCTAATGGACCGGGCGTCTACAGTGTGAAGCCCCTGCTGGAGACGTCGAGGGCCCTCCCAACCACCGACGAAGGGGACGTCCTTTCAGTGCAGGACACGAGCTGCCTCATCACCGACAAAATCCGAGTCACCAGAAGACACTACTACTTGGAGCAGCACTGGCCCCACGAATCTACCTCATTCTTCTCGGTGAAGCAGAGGATCAAGTCCTTTGAGAACCTGGCCAATTCGGACCGATCCCTGGCCAAGTCTGGGGCTTCCGCTTTTTTGTCTGTGAGCTCCAAGCCTCCCATTGGGAGACGGTCCTCTGGCAGCGTAGTTTCAGGGAGCCTCAGCCACCCCAGTGACCTGGCAGCGAGGTCACTGCGACGCAGCCTGAGTTCCTGCAGCGAAAGCCAGGGCGAAGCCAGCACCCTCATCCCCCAGATGACCAAGTCCCCATCCAGCATGACACTGACCGTCCCCCGGCATCACCCGGTGGAGGCCAGGAACAAGGGCCCTGATTCCAACCCGAAGCAATCGCTTGGTCCTTCCGGAATCCCCACCCCAATGGTGACCCCGGCCTCTCCCATCAAGAAGAACAAGTCCTCGGTGCGCCACACCCAGCCCTCGCCGGTATCCCGCTCCAAGCTCCAGGACCTGAGGGCCTTGAGCATGCCCGACCTCGACAAGCTGTGCAGTGAGGACTTCCCCGCAGGGCCCACGGCTGTGCTCTTCAAGACAGAGCTGGAGATCGTGCCCAGGAGGTCCCCTGGCTCCTCTGCCAGAGGCCTCAATGGGGCCACTGCCCTTTTGTGTCCTGTGCAGGGGGCGGACAGGGCCTGTCCAGGAGGAAGCAGGCCTAAAGCCAGTGAGCCTGGGGCACCCAGTTCAACCAATATGAGTGAAACCACCCGGGATCTGCCCTCTGGAAAAAGCTGGTCAGTTAAGTAAGTATCTGCCCTTTTTTTGATTATTATTATGCACTAGTTTTAAGATTTATAGAAATGTTTCAAAGATAATGCAGTTTCCATGCACCGCTCACCCAGCTCTTCCTAATGTTAGCATCATATACTACCACCATCCATTAATCGAAATAAGTTAATACTGGAACACAATTACTACAGACTTGATTCAGACGTCACTGAATAAATCCCCAAAATGTCCTTTTTTGCTCCAGCATCCAGCCCAGGATAGTAACATCACATTTAGCCCCTTGTTTTCAATACCATTACAGAAACATGGTGCCTGCAGGGGGGCGTGTTTGTCCTAATGTTGTGCTCAGGAGAGGCTTCTCACTAGGGAACTGCTCAGAGATGGTGGTGGACAGGGCTGCGCCTCAGGGAAGAACTGGGACCTGTGAAGGTGACTGCAATTAAACAGGAAATCAATAACATCTTAAAACATTTCATTTGAGCCTATACATTGTATATTTTTTAATATAACAACTTTTGTTTACCACATTGGTCCCCTAACACCTTGGGGAATCCCTGAATCCATAGTTATTTCCACTGAAAATACCTACAATACAATCTAAAGGAGATTGTTTTAAATGCGTCGTTACAAAATAGAGAAATTGCTTTTTCTTTAATGTTCTCCTAATGTATTTATATTATTTAGTTTGGATCAACTTCTAGTCTCAGCGGGGGATCAGCAAAGATTACAGTCTGTTTTGTCATCGGCAAGGTCGAAATCTACCATCCTGACTCTCATGCAGGAAGCGAAAGCACAATCAGAGGTGAGTGAAATGCAGGGAACACGGACACAGAACTGCTGCCACGTCAGTGCCCAGGTACAGCCACGCACTCAGAGGTTCGTGAGCCCTTCTCCAGGTCTCCTGTTGTGAGCTCACAGCCCAATCTCACTTGCTTGCAGACTGCTTTAGAAGCTAAACCTTGTCTTGTGTTTTTAGGTGGCAGATTGGTGCAGTTGCTCATTTAATTCCCCAGTGGGGACTAGTTACTGACCTCCCCATCCCACCCTGCATTTGGAGTTTGTCTGCAGAGAGTCCTCAAAGGTACTTGTGGTGGAGAATGAGCACAAGCACCTTTGTCCACCTAGGTGGACATAAACTACTACCTGTCAAGGGCGCCACCTGCTGGGGAGATGAGTTAATGCCTGTGTGGCCTTGCCCTGGCCCCAAGTGTAAGAATTTCTGAAGCCTGGGGTTCCAGACAAAGAAGCTAAATAGTCATAAAAAATTGGATGTGACGGTAACAGTAACAATTGAAACCAGGGTTTCCTAACTAGAATACTTCTTGGGACTATCCACAGAGATTCGAACCCTAAGAAATAAAAATTTTCTACTTAGAGAAAAAAGCAAGTAGAGTACCTTGAGTACCTGGGTCACTGGTATCATCCAGAATTCTAACACTAGAAGGGCTGTGACGCTGGCCTCCAATGAGGAGTGAGCCAGAGGGAGGGGAGGTGGGTGGGATGAGACCAGTGGCCATTAGCGGCCTCTCCTGGTTCTCCGCCCACTGGTCTGGGTCTGTGCAGCCAGGAAACACCCTGAGGCATCTAGCATTTTTCACTTTCAGTAAAAGGGACTAATCTATTGTCTCCTTCCTCCTTCCACTTGTTGCAGTAAGTAAGCATTTTGCACGTGGACTCACTTGGTGATTTCCAGTCAAGGTCTGATCACGCTGTGCCAGGGGCCACCTGTACTCATGATAGATAAAATGGTCTCAACCAACCTCACAAAAGGGAGGGACCCCAGGGTAGACTGTGTGTGTGCACAGGGTGCCGAGCGCCACCTGGAGTCATCTGGGGCCTCTCCTCACCTCAGTTCCTATTCACCACCATGCAGGCAGGTTTTATGCGTGGTGTTGAAGATCATGCTTGTTTTCGTCAACATGCAGTTGTCTTCAGTTGGTTCCGGGCAAGTACAGATGTCCTCACTCTGCCATCTTTAGACCAGAAGTTTCCTGCCTTGCTTTTTCTCAATGAGTATGGTGTGTAGGTGTTGAAAATGGAACTGTTCAGAACAGTTTCTTTGGCTTCTGAGGGTGCTGTGAGAGACTAGAGTCAAAAAACAAGCCCCGGTCTTCTGGTTTCTGGAGAGCTAAACCTTGGGGAGCCCCTGATGGTGCTTCTAGCTTTCCTGATGCTGTACTGAGCTTCTCAGAAGCAAAATCCGGCCTGACGATCGATCAGCTTCCAGTATGCTGTAAATAATTTGAATAAATTAAAGCTTTGGTGATAATGTGTCCCGGGACACAGGAGAGTCCCATTTTCAAGTATTGTTTCTTTGCTCCAATAATACATTTAAATAGAAGTAGCCCTATTTCAGCATCAAACGTTACCTCTGAGCAACTGCACGGAGCTCATCTGCAGGCCACATCTCCCGTTTTGTTTTGTTTTTTAATATATTTTATTGATTTTTTACAGAGAGGAAGGGAGAGAGATAGATAGTTAGAAACATCGATGGGAGAGAAACATCGATCAGCTGCCTCCTGCACATCTCCCACTGGGGATGTGCCCGCAACCCAGGTACATGCCCTTGACCGGAATCGAACCTGGGACCCTTCAGTCCGCAGGCCGACGCTCTATCCACTGAGCCAAACCGGTTTCGGCCACATCTCCCGTTTTTGTTAAGCTATCATCATTCTCTCCATTGAATGGTGCCTGAGCACACATATGGTCGAATTTGCCCATAACATGGAAATCCTAACCCCCCAAAAGTTCTGCAGGACATTGTGTTGTTAGCATATGGAGCCTTGGTTTGAATAAACTTTAGAGAAATGTAAAATGACTAAGGTTAGGTCTTAGGACTTAACTAATAGAACCAACACTTTTCAAATATTGGGTTCCTTTCCCAGCACAATACAGAGGTGGTTTTCTCTTCCAACGTTTTCACTTTCTCTTGTCAAAGCAATCCTTAAAGGTTATTAAATTCTTCCTCTATTGCTGTTTGAGAGCACCTGAAATTGATGGATTATATATCACTTGATGGGAAACCCAGCAGATCTTTAAAATGTTGTGAGTCATCCTAGCGTGTGGGTGGAAGAACTCAAAATTCAGTATAATTAGCCCAGCTCATTTTTATTTTAAAATCTCTTATCAAGGTATCTTTAGATCAGTGCTTGAAACATGGGCAGTCTTTTGTTCTTAACCTTAGAACACTACTAAGAATGTCCAATACAGGAGTTGACATCTCTAATGTACTCTAATATTGTGACATACTTTATACCTTTAAACATACTTTGTATTTTATGAGTACTGGTTCACTGACTGCACGTGGAATCCAGTGAACTGAGCACGGGAGGTGGAGGGCATAGAACACGTAGCCTCAGCGTGCTTTTACCTGGCTCTTGGCACTTACGCGTCTCCCTTTGCTGCTGAACTATAGACATAACTGTAGAATAAGGAATGCCCTTCATAATCAAATTTGGGAGGACACCATTTGGTGGCTAGACTGGCTTCTAAAGTGTCCCATCCATGCCTTCCTTCCCGTGGTTCTGTAGCTACAGGCTGGACCCTCGAAAACCTGTAAAGGCACCACCCAGAAGCGCAGCACAGTGGAGTCGTGGCTCCTCTAGTTGAAACCCTGTGAAAGCTCCTGAGGAACCACTGGGTTTCCTGGGGATAAACTGCAGCACTAGGGGGGTTTGTATCAGTACTCACCTGTTACTCTTGGCACAGGGAATATACTTTTTTCTTCTGTTTCTTCTCAATAGAATAAAGATGTCTGCTTCATAGTCTTGACCAAAAAAGAAGGCTCGGGTCTGGGATTCAGTGTGGCAGGAGGGACGGATGAGGAGCCAAATGCGATTGTGGTGAGTGAGGATGTGGAGACGCTCTCGGGAAAGTCATGCTAAAGCAGTTCTGAGTTTGAGTAGGACAAAACTCCCATCAGTGAGTTCACAGGTTGCTGGAGTTTGTTCACGGCCACCTGAACAAAAGGAGGGAAAGCAGTACGTAATATTTTCATTGACAAAGATAAGCCTTTTCACACATAGCTGACTGATAGACAGGCTAAGTGACCTATTAGGTGCCAATACACATAAACACAATTATGTATAGCCTCAAATTCACCTAAATATTTTGTTTATTCAGAAAGACCTTAGAATTAGCTGGCCATATCTGCTTTTGCTTATGAAATTACTTCTTAAGAACCACCACCTTTAAGTTTTGCATCACTCAAGCCTGTGAGATCATTAGGGAGATGCCACCTTTCCTGGACAAGGTCAGGTCCTATTCCTCTTTGTAGTGTTACTGCCCCCTTGAGTGTTAGGCACATATCAGACCTGCTGCTGGGCACTGACGTTTGTCATTTCACCCCTCACACTGAATGTTTTTGATATAAACCAAGTGTTTGCATGACTTGGGAAATTTGCCATTAGAAGGTTCCTTTACTGCAGACCCTTTGCTTTTACTGGAGGTCATAAATGACTTTGGCTTGTCCTGTCCTTGTCCCAGGTACACAGGGTATTTTCTCAGGGGGCAGCTTCTCAGGAAGGGACTATGAACCGAGGGGATATCCTCCTGTCAGTCAATGGTGCCTCACTGGCTGGCTTGGCCCATGGGGATGTCCTGAAGGTTCTGCACCAGGCGCAGCTGCACAAAGATGTCCTCGTGGTCATCAAGAAAGGAAATGACCAGCCCAAGCCCTCCACCCGGCAGGAGCCACACATAGCCAACGGGAAGGGCTCGCTGTCCAGAGACACCATCTCCCTGGAGCCTGGAACGGGAATGGGTAAGACACCCCCTCACCAGCCAGCAGGGTGTGAGCAGCATAGACTCGGGCTGAACACAAAGGAAAATAATGGCCATTACCTTATTAGTTGGGTCACAGAAATTAAATGTAGTGAAGTATAGTGTTTGTGGATGCTTCTTGCAAAAGCCGCGTTACAAATAACTTATTTAAAAACGACCCAGTAGTTAAAGCCATACTATTGAAGACGTAAATGACCATTTGACAGCTTCTCAATGTCCTAAGGAAGCCCTTTTGAACTTCCATCCTATTAGGGCTTAAGTGGTTGGTAAGTAAAACAAGAAACCCTTGTTCAGGGGGACTGAAAGGTGAGAGAAGCTCCAGGCTGAGCTTTGTCCTGGGAACATCCAGAAAGGAGGGTGTTTAAAGACAGTCGCTGCACTGTCGTCCCAGGCTCCACTGTAAGCCACACTAAGCGCTGACTCAGAATGGGCACTGCTTTTGAAGCATAGGCTGGGTCCCAAGTGGGACTTCAGTCTTCACGGAGACGTGCACCGTCACGGGGGGTCTCTGGAGATTTCTGCTTGGGCATAAAGGCATGCTCCACGCTTGCAGACCGTTGATTAGAAGAGCAGAGGTGCAGGAACTGCAGGAACACAGCCAGGAGGGGAGACCAACCCTAACACTGGTCTCAAATGTTGTCATCAGCACTTCAAGGTAAATGGGACACGACAGGAGGTAGTGAGTGTCCCTGTTGTCTCCATCTTCACTGCAGGGAGAAGAGGAGCTGCACAAGACGCTCTGTGTGTTGAAGTACTGAAGACCTCGGCTGGGCTGGGATTGAGCCTGGATGGAGGAAAATCGTCCATGTCTGGGGATGGGCCCCTGTTCATCAAGAGAGTGTACAAAGGTAATGTCCCAGAAAACACAATCCGCCGTCCACTAGCTATCAATTTCTGTGTATGTCAGTGCCCCTTCCATTTGGAAATCAAATTTGTTTAAAAAGATCTAAAGTGTTTTTCATGCTTTATAACATACTAGGGCCCCAGTGCACAATTCATGCACCTTGAAAGGAACTGTGGGCTGCGAGGCTGTGGTAGGCACAGGGGCAGGTCTTGGCCCAGCCCCTCCCGCCTCGGCCCCTAGTCCCGTCTGCTGGCTTCGCCGCTGCTCCCATGCACTGATGGCATGGAGTGATTGGGGCCGGCGCCAGCAGCGGGTGCGAGCCCCAATCGCCCCTCAGGAGCAGGGGGAGGTGGAGAAGCCCTCAGGAGCTATCAGGGCCAGCAGCTGCCGCTCGCACCCGCTGATGGCGCCGAGAGATCAGGACGGTGCTGGGCACCGGTAGCGGATGCGAGCAGGGCCAGCGCTGGCAGCAGGTGCGAGCGCTTGGTGGGCCTGCGGTGCACAGGAGCAAAGAATTTTCAGTAACAACCAGAGTCTCGCCCCAATGACAGGGTCTGGCGCCCCTGCTCATCTGCTCCACCATCCCACAGCGGCCCACGCCTGCCATGTTCTGCACACGCCCCCTGGTGGTCAGGACACATCATAGCAACCAGTTGTTTGGTGGTTCTGCCGTTCAGTCTACTGACATATTAGCCTTTTATTATATAGGAGGATAGGGTTAATGTGTGTTAGCCCTGTTGTGTTTTACACATATTCACTCATGTCATTCACATGACAATCCTACCATAAAGGTACTATATCGCACCTAAGGTCACAGGTATAAGTAGCAGACCAGGCGTGAACCCGGGTAGCCTGGCTCTAGAGCAGAGGTCCTCAAACTTTTTAAGCAGGGGGCCAGTTCACTGTCCCTCAGACATCCCACACATGCGCACTGCAGGCCTGGGACGAGTCGGCTGCTAAGCAGGACAGGCAGTGGTGGCAAAAACACCCGGCGGGCCGGATAAATGTTTTCGGCGGGCCGCATGTGGCCCGCGGGCCGTAGTTTGAGGACCCCTGCTCTAGAGTCTGTGCCCCTGACTTCTACACTGTATCTCTAACTCCATGTTCCTGTCTCCCTGTTCTTAATTAATCTGAGTTATTACTGATGACATTACTTAGCTTGGTATGTTCACATCAGAACAGCCAGTCAGGGGTACTTAACATCGACCAAGATCATAGTCACTTAACACATTGAAGACGGATCACGAGAATTCTCGCTTCATATTACACAGTGTTTTACAAAGTATCATACTTTAAAAAGATGTTAGCTTGTAAGAACATGTAAATAAGTAACTTCAAAATGCAATGGGTATTTTATTTTAAAGCGTGCCTTTAACATTTATTTAAAATGTTTTTTTGTTCAATAGAAACTTATCTGGCTATTGGGTAAAGCTAGCAATAAAACTACTAGTCCACAATGTGTTAAGATGGCAATTTCCAGATTATAAGAAAGTGAAATGGGAGGGAACAGTAGGTCTTTTCATGAACTTGAACTAACAATAATGTGTGTGTGTATATACCATATTTAATAGAACACTGATACTGTTAATATTAAATTTAGTAATGAAACAGCACTAATATTTAATATACTAATTATTAGCATTGTCTTATTAAAAATTAGTATTAGGTTGTGTTATACTATCATTAACATAAAATGCTTATGTCCTTGAGTGGGTTGGATTTGAACTTTTCTTCCAGCTATATTTCTATTATTTTATCAATCATTATAACCAACTAAAATCATATATATATTGACATCAAATATTTAACAATGATTTTCAGAAATTTAGGATGGAATAGCTATATCTGTTTTTTGAGCCCTAAAATTTCTGAGAAAATTATTTTCATATTTGGGAATTTTTCTTTCAATGCCCTTTTTTCCATGTTAAGTGCACAGCCAGTGTGCACTTTTTCACTACGACTGTTTTAGATGTGTATGTGGAAAGCTTATAAACTTGCTAGACCATACACAAAGCTGCAGTACAGAAATATGTTATAGCTTCTAAGGAATCAATTAAGTAATCTCCAGTCACTGCTGGGCATGTAAGCACCGTCTCCGAACTTGGATATCGTAACCAACATCTTTAACAGAAGTTGAACCTGTTTCCCTGCATTTATTGGCCATTTGGATTTTAGCTATTGATTTCCTTTGTTCAAGTTTCTCTTTATTTTGTATTCTTTTGAAGTATCTTCTCAGCTGCTTAGATTTTTCACAGAAAAGGTAACAGATTTGAATTTTTAAAGTCAGGTTTCTTTTTATGGGTCTCTCCTAAGACTATAAACATATTTTGAGATTTTTCTCACTGATGGTTTTAGCTTACTTAGACTTCATTGTGAATACCATGTAAGTACCAAGCCCTCATTCTGTATTTACTCTCACAGGTGGTGCAGCTGAACAGGCTGGAACAATAGAAGCTGGGGATGAAATCCTTGCCATTAACGGGAAACCCCTGGTTGGGCTCATGCACTTCGATGCCTGGAATATTATGAAGTCTGTCCCGGAGGGACCTGTGCAGTTAGTAATTAGAAAGCATAGGAATTCTTCCTGCAATAAGCATGAGTAGTGACACTCACATTTTTTATAAGAATCTTCTTTTCTCTGTTTCCTTCGTATTTCAGCAAGTCAGAAGGACGTCTCAAAACAGCGGAGAAACACTGGTGTAGGCAAGGACTATAAAAATCTCCACATTTTTACTAACAGATGATGCTCGACTCTGGAAGCCTTCCCTGGATCACCTAGGCCAGGAGGGTTCGTTCTGTTCCGGTACCTGTCCCCGACCTTTTGCTGTTACTAATGGGGATATAAGACGTGGCAGGGTGCCTTCTTTCATTTCAAACATCCTTCGCTTCTCTTGGCCACCTCTCCCAACATCCCAATCGGGGCAACTGGGGAGCCTACACAGGCTGAGGGGCAACACAAATGTCATGACTAAATGGACTCTAGTTTTTTATAATTTTGTAAGTAAATACCAATGCTTTAAGCACATTCAATGGACAGAACTGTAGGTCTGTATGTTACCCTGAAAAGAAAATGAGACTTTAAAATATAATAATAATCAATTTATGACCTAATGGTTAGGCTGAGCTCAGGAATTATCCAAAAATGAAAAAACAAAATACAGAAAGTGGTATATTTTAGTGAGTGTAAAGTGCAATATATGGCTGCAGAGTTCAACTCAGTGAGTTACTGATCACAGTGAAGTGTTGGTCATGGTCTAAAAGTGTCGATCGTAAGGCTGTTTTGCAGAAATGCAGTTCTGATAAACTGTACTAAATAGCCATGAACTTGCTGCTTACAATGAGCAGAAAGTTCCAGCTTGGAAAGCACCCTGTATCTAGTTTGGAACTTGTCTTGAGTAAGTGCTTGAATTCAAGACTGGTCAACACAAAAGCAGGCAAAAATATCAGTCACTGGGTTTCCATTTCTATATTTTATGTACTTTTAACAGTAATTTAAATTTTTAGAAATCAATTATCTTTTTAGTATCCTTGGATTTATAAACATAGGCATTATATTTACCCTCCAAATAGAGAATCGTTAAGCGCCCAGCCTGTTTTGTCTTCTGGACGAAAAGTATAGTGTGACTGACTGGGCGCTTAACGTATTAAAATAATCCACTTAGGGGACTGTTGTTTTTCCCCCCCTTTCCCAACAAGCTTATAAAATGTATCGTTTCTAAGCATTGGATCACTTTTCCTGACCTGGGTATTATCACATATCTCTACAGTGACTGAAGTTTTTTGCTTCTGTTTTGCAAATTATTCCTTTTGTCAAAACTGTTTCCCTGCAGACCACTGTAACTCACGCTGCTTGTGAAACTTGTCCCAGCTGCTCTCCTTTCGAAGCATGAACTTTGTAGGTGCTGTTCCTTGCTACAAAATTGGCTTTTATCCCCTCATACTTCAAACCGTCATCAGCTTCCTTTACCAAAATGGAGGAAAATGGAGGAAAGTGAGTCACTTTCAAGGTAAAGGAGCAGTACTACTATGTAGTTACAACCCAGATCCTCGGGGGGGCACACACTAGCTGACCGAGTCCAGGGAATACAGGTGAGACTGTGTACCTGTGCGCATGATGACGCTAAGGTTTATGTTGGAGCTTCTTTCAAAAACTATAGCTTGAGTCTATGGCTTAGAGAGAACAACACAAGTCATCATACCCCCGGATCATGGAAGCACTTGAGCTGTCACTTTGTGCATCATTTTTCTGGGTGATTAATCCCAGTAAACCTCTATGGAGTTGCCCTGAGAGGTCTCTCAAATGGGAGTGAAATATCTGATTGGTGTGAACCCAGATTTCTCATCTTTTAACAGGTTCTACAAAAGAAAACATAGTACAGGAATTAGCTAGAAAGATCTGATTAATTTAGCTTCTACTTTCACTACAATTCCAGGTAAGATACTATAGAAAGTCAGTACAAGGTGCATGCTAGATTGTTTTTAAGTCTCTGGAGTCAGTTGTGTGGTTTCTGTTTTCTTGACATGCAACTATTTGAAATCAACACTGAAAACTATTTTTTGCCTCTACTCTTCCAGCTGTGCCTCCTAAGAAACAGTCCTTTGTGAACAGACAGGAATTTCTAGAGCAATGGGCTGGTCTCCTCCTGGGAGTCCCTGATTCTCACTCAAATCTGAGGAGTGCAAGGGTAGACCTCTGGCTCATTAAATATGTTAAAGTCATCAGCCATTTCTAGTAGATCTTGCCAGAATGGTTCCCTGGCTGACGGTTGGAACATAAGGGAGGAAGGAAAACTGTTTTTGACCCTAAGATAGAGAGCTATTTATTTATCTTCAGTGTTCAGGCATGACTAGTATTTCTAATTAGTCTAATAAATTCCCATACTTCCTGAAGTGAACACTAATGGTATTATCCTACTAAAACTTTCATTGTTTTGGTTTTTTAACTGGTCATTCACAATAAGCTATGAGGCTAAATATGTGTTATAACATGTAAATTGTAGTTGCAAGCATAGACCGTGAAGGTTGAGTTTCACTTATGTTCTACCAGACACATCTCATTTGATTTTATGGTTGACTTAATTGGCACCACACCTGTTGTATGATATACATAATCCTTTATTTATGTAAAATAAAATGCCTTATATTATTAAAGAGTTAAGTGCAATAATATGAAATAGCCTGTACATTTTTAAATGTCGCCAAGTTATGTAAACCCACATCTCTGTAAACAACTTTTTTTAAGTAATTTTAAAAAAATAAACACTCTGCTTATTACTTGTTTTTCTAGTTCTGCAACTATAGAATAACCTTTTAAATTATCAAGATAGTAAATGTTTATTGTTACCTAAGTGGGTGAAAGGTACAAAGGCAACAGAACTCAAGTCAACCACTCTTTCCCACAACCACACTCAGAATCTCACACAATCCAAATTGTTCACAACCTCCTGACCTTCCAGATTGCACTACCCTTCTTCCCACTACTACCTCTTGTCTTCAATTTCAACAAGCCCGCCCTTCATTCCCATATCTACTCAGACCAGACCCCACGGTGAGCACAACAATCCCCATCCAGACCACAGGCTCAGCTCCCTCACCCCAACTAAATCCTGGATCCTTCCAACTAGCCCACTACTTGGTTCTTACACACCGATTCCTACAGAAAATACCACAATCACTCCAAATGATGCTGCTATAAATTCATGGTTTCCAACCTCAACTGGGCTCTTAAAGTTTCCTTGTCAGTTTTTTCTCTCATTCTTCACAATGACCACGTTTTTTCCTCTAAACCCTGACCCATTATTATTCCCATTAAAGTCAGGAATACACTCAGAAAAGATGTTCACTAAGTTGAACACCAATGTTCTGGAAGTACAAGCCAATACAATTAGACAAACATTTTTAAAAGGGGTACATGTAAACTCAAACACATCAATGTAAAAATGATTAAAATATTACAATTTAGTAAGGTGGCTATCAAAAAGTACTCACTAAAACAAGAGCTTACCTAAATAATAACCAACAGAACATAAGGGGAAAAACACCTAATTACAACAGCAATGGAAAAATATATTTAACCTTAGTTAGCCAAGACCAGCAAACCTAAACACAAACATATTCTATTAAGAGACATTAAAAAAGGTAACTCGAGCCCTAGCTGGTTTGGCTCAGTGGATAGAGCATCGGCCTATGGACTGAAGGGTCCGGATTCAATTCCAGTCAAGGGCACATGCCTGGGATTGTGGGCTCGATCCCCAGTAGGGGCCGTGCAGGAGGCAGTCAATCGATGATTCTCATCATTGATGTTTCTCTCTCTTTCCCTCTCCCTTCCTCTCTGAAATCAATAACATATATATATTAAAAAAAAAAAAAGGTAACTTGAACAAATGGGAGATACAGCTTATTCGTGAATAGAATAACTCAATGCTATAAAGATTTCAGTTCTCCCAAGACTAATCTATAAATATAATGTAAGTCCAACCATAATCTGAAAAGAATTTTTTAACCTGACAAAATTATTCTAAATTCCATTTGGTAGGATAAACATGTGAAAATAGCCAGAAGAATTTTGAAAGTATTGTAGGAGGGAGATAGCACTATTACAACATTATCAGAAACTATAATTAAAACAGTGCTCTTCTTCCATAGAACTGGACATGCAAACCACCGGAAAAAAGAGCTAAATATATGTATAGATAGTATTTCTAAATTCAAAGAAAATTCAAAGGTAACATTCTAAATTGGTGGCAGAAAACAAGATTATTCGATAACTGGTTTTGGATAAATTAGCTAGCTATTTGGGGGTGGCTGGGTGGAGGTGAAAGCTGGATCCTTGCAACAAGTATATCCCTGACAACAAAATAAAGTAGCAGAGTAGTCACAGATTTAAAAGCAAGAAAGGAAAACAAGCCCTGACCGGTTTGGCTCAGTGGATAGAGCGTCGGCCTGCGGACTGAAGGGTCCCAGGTTCGATTCCAGTCAAGGGCATATACCTTGGTTGCAGGCACATCCCCAGTAGGGGGTGTTCAGGAGGGAGCTGATCGATGTTTCTCATCGATGTTTCTCTCTATCCCTCTCCCTTTCTCTCTGTAAGAAATCAATAAAATATGTTTTTAAAAAAGAAAGGAAAACAAATCTAAAAAGCCAAATATATTGTTTTAATCATAAAGTGAATATGATGGTCAATTCAGAAGCTATAAAACCACAGACTCATAATTTAACAAACCACTGGGCACTATCCCAGCAGATTCAGGTAATCTCACATCCCACCCATTCCCTACTCCCTACTGTTAACACCACACACATACACGGAGCAACTAGTACTGAAAAACCTTGGTGTAAACATCTATAACAGAACTTAGTGTGAAAGTACCCCCAAGACCCCCCAAATATACAAGTGGGTGGGGACAAACTACCAAAAAGACAAATTTGGTATCAGGATCTGTGCAAGGCCAAGTAGAAGGAAGCAACAGGGCATCTAGAGCCCTGAGACACCCTGACTCCCCACCCCATAATCAACAGGAATTCAGAGGAGCAACTGGGCAGCAGCTGAAACTGGAATTTTTCAAAACCTAGTGAAAAAATGTGGGCAAGTGTGTGAGGTCCCTGAAGAAGGTAGCGAGGGCTGGTGCAGGTTATGCACACTCAAAATCAACCTGCTAGTTCCTCAAACTGAGGAGAAACTACACGAACAGAATCCAAATTGAGCAGAACAAGAACAATAGAGGTCCAGACGAACAAGGCCCAGATAAAGGAGGGCAGAACCAGATCTCAGAAAGTAAGCTGACATATTTTTTTACACTCGACAGAAGAGAGAGGTCAGAGAATAGTTAGAAAAGCTACCCTGACCCACTTGTCCTTTCTAACAGAACAGGAAAGGCAATTTCATGTAAAAATGGGCAATAGAAGATAATCTAGGTCAAATCCCACACAAAGAAAAAAGAGAATAAGGAACAAATACACCCCTATGACAACAAAAGCATCACAGAGACATGCTGGGAGACCAAAGAAAACTATAACAATACCTCAAAATGCATTAAAATACATCAAGAAAACGACAGAAAAATATGAATAATATAAACAAATTAGAAAACATTTTACAATGGGCATTAAAATTCAAGGGAAAAAATTTCAGAAAATACTAAATTAAAAAGATTATTCACAGTGAATAAATACAATAATTTCTTAAGATAAAAAGGGTGAAATGGCCCTAACCGGTTTGGCTCAGTGGACGGAGCATCGGCCTGTGGACTGAGGGGTCCCAGGTTCGATTCCGGTCAAGGGCATGTACCTTGGTTGCGGGCACATCCCCAGTAGGGGGTGTGCAGGAGGCAGCTGATTGATGTTTCTCTCTCATTGGTGTTTCTAACTCTCTATCCCTCTCCCTTCCTCTCTGTAAAAAATCAGTAAAATATGTTTTTTTAAAGGGTGAAATGTTTAAAGATCAGTAAAAAAGAGAGAAAAGAACCCAAGCAAAACGGACAAATAACGAAGATATATAATAGCAGTCCCCAAAGAAGAACACTTAAACAAGGGAACAGAACAAACAGAGCTTCAATTTTCCTAAAATTGAGAATAAAAAAAGACTTGACATTGACACTACATACTGAAAGAACACACCATGTCCTATTCCAGAACAACCCAGAACAACACACTGTAGTAGCACTGGGGGAAAATTGGAGGAGAAATCCTGTGGGCTTCAAGCAAAAAGAATAGGCATTCATGAGGGAAAGAAAATCATATTTGAATCAGACTTTGACAGTATGCCTTATGCCAAAAAAAAGAAAAAGACTGTGACCCAAGAAATTTATCCAGACAAACTGACTTTCAAATAAAAGGCTTCAGATACACTGCCGTTATCATACAGAAACGCATGGAGTGTTTGCTCACAAGCCCTTTCTGAAGAAACTAACAAATGAGCAAGACAACCAAAATGACTGGATAGACAATAATATAAGGAATGATGGTGAGCATTGAGTATGTGTTTATTTGAAGAGTTAAAATTAAGGTAAATTAAAGAGAGAGACTATGTTGTATAAACAGTGTTCTTACAATGCAGGTGCAACACAATTACAAAAAGTGGTTGAAATGGTAAGTTTTTTGTTATGTATATTGTACCACAATAAAAAAGGGGGAGAAGCCCTAGTCAGTTTGGCTCAGTAGATAGAGCGTAGGCCTGTGGACTGAAGGGTCCCAGGTTCAATTCGGGTCAAGGGCACATACCTCAGTTGCAGGCTCAACTGCTGACCCTGATCAGGGCACATGCAGGAGGCAACCAATCGATGTGTCTCTCACATCGATGTTTTCCTCTCTCTAAAAAAACAATGGATGCCTGATTGGTGTGGCTTAGTGGTTGAGCATTGACCTATAATCCAGGAGGGTCACAGTTTAATTCCCAATCAGGGCACATGCCCAGGTTGCAGGCTCCATTCCTAGTGGGGCGTGTAGGAGGCAGCCAATTGATGATTCTCTCTCATCATTGATGTTTCTATCTCTCTCTCCCATCCTCTCTGAAGTCAATAAAAATATATTAAAAGGGGGTGGGGGAAGTACCTTTTAAGTTTACATTGATACTTTCTATTCAAATTTAGAACTACAAGGTTTTCTATCTTCTATCTTAAAGCTGTATCTTCATTTTTCCATATAAAGAATCCTGGTTCTCATGAAGAAAACTGATGAAACTGATAAAACACAATGTTTATTTCCATAAAATCATAATAGTTAAAAAACCAAATCAGTAACCTTTGGAGAATGCTGAGAAACCAACTTGATTTTGAAAACTGGTAAATAAAATGTATAATGTATCCTACCTTTCCTCTACAAACTACTAAAAGGTAATAAAGATAAGGTGAAATTTCTCTTTATAGAAAAACTCTCATGAAGAAATGATAGGAATTAAAACATCACCAGTCAACAACCCCATTAAACAGGATCTAGTAAGAACTGAACAGCAAGAATGCTAACATCATAAAAGTAGAGATATTATATAAAGTAGAGATGCTATACATTTCCTGATAGAAGAACACATATCACCAATGACACTGTGTTGCCTACACAAACAAACCTGAATCTGACGAAGCCTCTAGATCCAATTACCAATTCTTGGGAAGTACAAAAGCCAGAGATACATTAAACTACATGTAGATGCAATCAGCAAAATCCAAACTTTGGGAAACTCTCAGGACAGTGATCCAATTTCATCAACAAATATTTTATAAGGGAAAAAACAAGACGGGGTGGGGAGGTGGGGAAGGGATGGGACCTATAAATTAGAAAAAATTTAAAATCACTTATCAAGTGAAAAACAAAACTAAACAGAACAAAATTATTAGAGATGCACACTGGCTGGGACCAGAAGATTATAATTGGAAGGAAGCCTTGAGCAGCTTCTGGATAAGCCGACAAGTTCTACTTCTGACCTGAGTGATGGCCGCAAACATATTTGCCTTAAAATAATTCATTAGCCTACCATTTGTTTATGTGATCTTCCATTTGTATTTTAATCATAAAAATTACATGAAATGCTTATATACATATGTATTCGTAAGTTTATATGATTGTTTATATGATTTTTATACTTGTTATATTTAATCATATCCCCCCCAAAATTTATAGTAATACATATCACAAACCTGAATACTAGGCAAATGTCATTAGTAGGATAATTAAGGTCTCCACAGATTCCATGCTCAACACTGCACCTTACACTTTACTGAATGTTTAAAAAAAAAGAAAGAAAGGAAGAAAGAAAGAAAAACTTATCATACACCAATTCCAAAGGCTGGGGAAACAAACAGCATCACAGACACAGGGCTAATATCCATAATATATTAAAAGTCCTGATGAATCAATACTTAAAAAGATGCCCATTAGAACAATGGATAAAGAACACAAACAGGTTAATTCAGAGAGAAAAACACAAACTATCTTTAAAGGTTTTATAAACAAAGACAGTAAATAACCAACCCCCCAATAACTAAAACAAGTTGACAATTATCTATTAGCTTGGCAAAGACCAGGATTGATGAAACCCTCTAAGTATTGGCCAGGATATAGGGAAACCAGCATTCATATTACTGGTGGGCATGTATGTTAATATCAATCTTAAAATCAATTTGGCTTTCTATTAATTCCTCCTACAGAAGTCAGACAAATAAAAAGACATATGTACATTAAAATACTGTTGGCAATAATGAAAAACATGAGACTGATCCAAATGTCCATTAATGGGAGATTTAACGAAGTTATAAAATGAAGCCAAAAATGATTAAAAAGAATGATGTGTGCTTATTCTGAAAGCTCTCCACAATATAAAATATAAGTACAAAAAGTAAATTGCACACCAGTATATGATGATGCTACTGGAAAAATTGCACAACACTGGTCTATCAGAAGTAAACACCCATGTAATTCTAGCATTGGACTGAGAAAGTACTGTATACATATCAACATTTAACCATGTTACTATCCACACCCCTTTAAAGGACAGCCTGCAAGGTTATGAATATTAATACTACCTCACTGGTACTATTAAAGAATATATGACATTTGTGCAAAACTTACAAGAGCCAGGTATATTATTCGGGGACCTGATGCGCTGTGATGAATTGGAATTTACCTTAGACTGTCAGTCTTCTTGACCTGAATGAAAGTGAAATGGAATAATGTTATCTGACAATATATAGGAAGTGCATACAAGATGGAGAGTTGGAATTGAATTTCATGAAATAAATACCTTACAGACTTGTGACTGGTGGTTTCCATGCTCCTGGGGCAAAAGTAGTCATTATTTATTGGCCCAATATTGCCACTGAACTGTCAGACACCAGCCTCTCTTTCCTTTGGGTGATGACCAAATTCAAAGGTGTGTTATACTGGAAAAGAGTATTGTACCCATCTATTCACAAACAATGGGAAGAACTGAGTGATGGAATGTGTTAAGAGACCACTGGGCAATCCTGCTTTAGCAGTCCAGGGACTTTCTTGGCCATTTGACACCTGGTAATGCTTTTTTCTCCTAAGAACATATAGAATTATTCAACTTTTTCATCCCCAAAAATGTGAGTTATACCAAGATATTGTAATAAAGCAGGGATGTCCCTTTATCATTGTAGTTTGCGTAAGTGTGAGAATTTTTTGCATGCCTATTGTTTTTTGTCTGTTAGAGAAAAGAAGCCCCCTCCTAGTGCCCAAATGAGAACGGATAAACTGTAGTGGAATGCTAATACTGTCAATCATTTTAGGACTTAAAGCTCAAACACTTACCACATAATGTTAAGATTGGGCAAATCATCCTCTCTAGGCCTGTTCTTCAATAAATGAAGATACATAGTTCTTAGGGTTTGGGGAGGTCAAAACGAGATATAAAGTATTTAACTAGTAGGCACAAAAACGTACATTCAGTGTTTCCTTTCTCCCTCTGGTTAGAACGTTTTTCCAGATCTGATTATTTTAAGGAATACACCTCAAACAATATATGAAATCAAAAAACCACAGCAGCCCTAATCAGTTTGGCTCAGTGGATAGAGCGTCGGCCTGCGGACTGAAGGGTCCCAGGTTCGATTCTGGTCAAGGGCATATACCTTGGTTGCGGGCACATCCCCAGTAGGGGGTGTGCAGAAGGCAGTTGATTGATGTTTCTCTCTCATTGATGTTTCTAACTCTCTATCCCTCTCCCTTCCTCTCTGTAAAAAAAAAAATCAATAAAAAATATATTTTTTAAAAAACACAGCAACTAATTCTTTGCACAATAGATCTTTCTACAATTTTCTATTAAAATTCACTGCCTGATTCTTGGATCAGAAGGCTTTTTAAAAAGTGGCATAAATACTGCTTCTACCACATAGAGTAATTATTTCCATGGAGCCACACCATTCTTGCTATACAGAGGACTGTGAGCAGCAGCATTTTACAGGAGAAAGAGTTCTAAATATCAGCTTGCCCTCCAGGCAGTACTACGTTTTCTCTCTGAATACAGAAGCAGGTGATGAAGTTGGGGCCACACACAGGTAGAGCTGGTGTGCACTCTGCTGTGAGCAAACACTGGCAGAAGTTCAGGCAGGCCTTTCCCTTGCCTGAGATGGTTGCTGCTGAAATGAAAAATATCCATTACTTCTAAAATCTTTTCAAGGGAAAAAAATAATAAATCTTCACCTGAAAAGAAACACCAAGATACTGATAGGAGTTTCCAGTATGCATTTTATGGGAAGAAACTATAAACTGATAGTTTCCACCAGTAGTATAATTTTGGGAGGTAAGGAGTTTATCTTAATGGACAGAAAATCTGTCTTTTCTCATGTCTTAAAACAAGGACTGGAAACTACTGCCCATGGCCAGCTGCCTGTTTCTGTAACTAAGAATTTATCAGAACACAGCCTCACCCATTTATTTGCATTATCTATGGCAACCTTCATTCAGCAGAGTTGGGTAGTTGCAACAGACATCATATGTGGCCTAAAGCCTAAAATATTTACTATCTGACCCTAGGAAAAAAACCTACCGCCCCAGCTGGGTGGTTCAGGTGGTTGGAGTGTTATTCTCTACATCAAAAAGGCTGTAGGTTTGATTCCCAGTCAGGGAACACCTAGGTTGTGGTACAATCCCCAGTTGGGACAATATAGGAGACAGCTAATTGATGTTTCTCTCCCCCCTCTCTCTCGCTCTCTCCCCCCCCTCCTATTTCTCTCTTCCTCTCTCTCTCTAAAATCAATAAAAACATATCCTCAGGTGAGAATTAGAAAGAAAAAAAAAAGGGCCCTCCAACTACATTAAAATATTACCACATTACACTAAGGCTCAGTAAAACTTCCTTAGAAAGAAAACTAAGGTAAAATACAAAAGTACAAATGACATGCTTGCTCTGATTCAGGCACTTTCAAGATCATAGTTTATTTCTTCAGATAAAAAGATAGTATACATATTAGGGAATCCATCTAGTAGTTTTGCATTGAATGTTAACCAAAAAAACTCTAGACACCTGAAAGCCTCACTATTAACATGAACTATGGTAATAAAAAATTTGACATTTAATTTGTTCAATATATAGTATTTACATTATGAAACCAATAGTGATATTATTGATAAACAGTGATAAAGAAATAGTAAAAAGCAAAGGTTTATATTTTTATAATGTGCTAATTGTCATAATTGTACATAAAAATTAAAACATAGCAGAGCTTTCTGTTATAAAATTCTTAATCATCTGAACTGTAGTCATTACTTGATAACAATTTACATGCAACATCTGCTATAAATGACATTTGATTTCTTTGTGAGAAATTGTGAGTAGATAAATGACATTTAAGAGCAAACATTAATTTACTTGTGGTCAAAAAAACAAAAAACTGTACTCAAGATTAGTACTGGTCACAAGCCTCTTCCATATAGAAATGGTAAAAACAGTAAGACAAAAATATTTGCAAAAGGAGATGCACAGCTGAAGAGTGCCAAGAATGGCACAGCTCAAAAAATCTTGGGACCAGACACACATCTTTTCTCTCTCCTTCAATGGTGAAAGGTCTATTTTGCCATCAAATAATAGTAACTGAAGCAAGTGAGGGCACCAGGTGTACAAGAAATTAAATCTTGCAAAATACTAAGATGGAGGCAGGTGTGGCCAGAAGAAGGGACAATTTATATATAATTCAAACTATATACAGCATAACTGGAATGCAGCCCATCCCAAACTGGCTTTGTGAAACAGTTGGACCGTTATGATTTAATAGTTAAAATTATAACAAGTGGTATAACAGATTTACATGGGACACAAAATCAAAGGGGCATTTTATATTATTTACTGTGTTGTTTCAATTTAAAAATAACTTTGCTAAGTATACATCTCAACTGAGGTCTATGTATAAAACATCCTAATAGATACAGATATTTACCTTTGGTGAGTTAAAGGCCTTTTTGTGATTTGTCTGAATTGTAGGCAGAATGGGAGATGCACATGCACATAGGGGAAAACTCAAACTGAGGTAATCCGAAGGTCTGCATGTGAGGAGACTGGAGGTTACTTTGAAAGTCAAAGCATACCAGAAATCCAGAACAGGTAACAGTGAGCATGGCAACAGAAGGAATGGAATGCCAATATGGCAGTAAAACTTTTTAAAACAGAAAGAGGAAGGCCTCTCGTACCAGCAGAATCCTGCATACATATTAAAAAAAAAAAAAAAGCCACCTACCATTTCATAAAACAAAAGCCAATTATAGTGTGGGAAAGTATAAATTGCAGAAAACCAGAAGTCAATAGAAGAAAAACTATTGGTTACTTGAGAGGGAGGAGGAGGCTTCCCCCTGGGCAGTTACTTGGTGAAGGCCGCCACCACCGCCCACAGAACCTCGTTGGCGTTGGCCTTCACACATTCCACCTCAGGATCCAAGTCGAGGAGCTGCCGCACTCTCTTGGTGGCTAAATCATACTGCTCATCCAGCAGGGGAGCAAAGGCATTCTCCAGAACATCCGAGGCGTGGGCGAGGTAAATGAGGGCCAGCAGGCGCTTGTCCATGCGGTGAGGGTCATTCACCCATTTGTCAAGAACAGCTTCCTGTACTTTCTTGATGAGGCGCTGCTTAATGTTGTTGTTGGTGAGGGGATGTGTGGTCATGTCAAAAAGTAGGAAGTTCTGTTTCTCTGTTGTCAATACACCCTTTTCTACCAGGTTTTTAGCTAATCGTTCCCGTACATTCCTTAATTGATAATGCAGTTTTAATGGATTCCATGTTTCACCTAAACAAAATATTTCAGAAGTTATAAATGATAGGTATTGGATTCCAGTCAAGATAGAAGAGAAGGTAAGTGCTGTGCTCACCTCCTCCCACTACTACATCAAAATTGCAACTAAATTATGAAACAAACATCATTGAGAACCACCTAAAGACTAGCTGAACATAAACGCTATACCTGAGGAGATAAAGAAGAAGCCACAAAGGGACTGGTAGGAGGCAGAGACATGAAATAAGCTGGTCCCACACCCATGAGGTGGCAATTAAGAATCAGAGGAATACTCAAGCTGTGGAAGACCCACTAAGGCAGGGGTCCTCAAACTACGGCCCGCAGGCCACATGCAAATACAAATATTGTATTTGTTCCCGTTTTATTTTTTTTTTTACTTCAAAATAAGATATGTGCAGTGTGCATAGGAATTTCTTCATAGTTTTTTTTTTTAAACTATAGTCCGGCCCTCCAACGGTCTGAGGGACAGTGAACTGGCCCCCTGTTTAAAAAGTTTGAGGACCCCTGCACTAAGGAGTAAGGGGTCCCAGCCCCACCACGGGCTCCCCAGCCCCAGACACCAGTGCTGGGAAGAGAAGTCCCCATAACATCTGGCTGTGAAAACCAGCAGGGACAGCATCCAAGTGAGAACAAGGGCTGCTGGAGTCCCAGGCACTCCTCTTGAGAGGCCGCACACAGTCGCACTAGCTCACAAACTCACTCACATGGCTCCAGTGTAGCAGCAGCAGCTAGTAAAGCACCAAGGATATATAGGGAGAAACTAAATTGACTAGCTTCAGGGAAAGTGCTGGAAGAGCAGGGGTTGAGACAGCTCTCTCCCAGGGATGAAGTGCTGGCAGATACCATTGGTCCTTTGTTGAGCCCTCCCCCAACCCAGCCAGCCAGTCTAGCATAGATGGGCACCAAATCAGAGCTCTCCATTAACCTGGAAACACCATTGTCCTGCCCTGGTGATTCCCTGAGACCCTACTCTATCCAACAGCCTGCAGGTCCACAAACCCCAAACAAGCAGTGGCTGTCCATGGTGTTTCCTGTACCTCTAGCTAAGCTACCCCAAGTCTGGCACAAGCAGCAATAGGTTTGAACTTGCATTGTAACTACCATCAAGTAGCCCAGGCCTGGCATACACAGTGACCAGTCTGGCCTTGGAACACAGCCTCAACAAGCAGCCATAAACCCCACACAAGTCGCAGGCTTGGTTTGCAGAATAGCCACTCCCAAGCAGCAACCAACTGCAGATAATTTCATAGCTCTACCAGACAACAGCCCCAAGCTGGGCACAATCAGTGAAACTAGACCATACAAAAATCAACTCAAAGTGGATAAAAGGCTTAAATGTCAGACCTGAAATCATAAAACTTACAAAAGAAAATATAGGCAGTAAATTCTGACATCGCTCTCAGTAACATTTATTTGGAAATGTCTTCCCAGGAAACAAAAGAAAAAATAAACAAATGGAACTACATCAAACTAAAAAGTTTTGGCATAGCGAAGGAAATTATCAACAAATCGAAAACAACCTCCTGAATGGAAGCCAATGATACATTTGATAAGGGTTAAAACCCAAAATATGTAAGAACCCCCCCCCTAGAAAACAAACAAACAAACAAAAAAACAACAACTAAAAAATGGGCAGAGGACTTGAATAAATATTGAGAGGACATACAGATGGCCAATAGACATATGAAAAGATGCTCCACATTACAAATCAGGAAAATGCAAATCAAAACCACAATGAGATATTACCGCACACCTGTGAGTATGGTTTCCATCAATAAATCAACAAACAGTGTTGGCAAGGATGCAGAGATAAGGGAACCCCATGCATTGTTGGTGGAATTGTAAATTAGTGCAGCCACTATGGAAAACAGTACAGAGGTTCCTCAAGAAATTAAAAATGGAACTACCATATAACCCAACAATCCCTCTTCTGGGTATGTACCCAAAGAACTCTAAAACACTAATAAAAAAGGATATAAGCACCCTCTATGTTCACTGCAGCATATTTACAATTCAGCCCTGGCCTGTGTTGCTCACCAGTTAGTGTTGGCCTCAGCACCAAAAGATCATGGGTTGGATTTCCCGTCAAGGGCACGTATGTAGGTTGCAGGTGCAATCCCAGGCCCAGTCAGGACACATATGGAGGCATTGGATCAATATCTCTCTCTCACATTTGTGTGTGTGTGTGTGTGTGTGTGTGTGTGTGTCCCTCCCTCCTCTCCACTCTCTAAAAATTAATGGGAAAAATATCCTCAGGTGAGGATTAACAGGGGGAAAAAATTAATGGGGAAAAAATTCTCGAGAGGATTAAAAAATAATAAAATGGCTATTATAAATATCTAAATAATTTAAAGGAAATATGAAAAGACCTTTTTTTTAAACGAGTAAATGATCTGAATTGTGATTTTTCATTTTGTGAATAACTTTGTAAAACTAGGAACTTGAAAACAATTATCAAATAATAAAGGGTTGGTACCATGAATTATTAGTAAATTGAAGTTACTGCCTGCATTTAAAGAAAACATTCACTTTCCAATTTAAAAAAACCTAGCAAATTAGCTTCCACAAAAGACAAACAACCATTGCATTCAATTTCCTTGGTAACTTCAAAAAAGAGCTAAAATATATTTAGGGGTCCTCTTAGACTTTAAAACCTAATTGTATAAAAGAAAAATATAATAATAAATGAAATGCTAACTTATAACAAGTTATGGAGCCAGACTGGTGGATATGATTTCAACTTGGTCATCTCCTAGCTATGCCTCAGAGAATATCTTGGCCATTTATTCCCAAAGGCACGGGGTGATATGTGCATAAGATTATTCTGAGAAACCCAAAGTTAAATTTCTCTTTGGCAGACCTAAAAAACAAAACAACCCCCCCCTCCGCCCCCCAA